ACCCTCGTGTGTGTGGTGATGAGCTTTTTATTGCGTAACCTACCACTAAGTGCTACCGACCTCGGAACAAGAGTCAGGCCTTCACCCACCATCCACACCAGCTATGCACGTGGTCTTGGGTGCTCCTGGTGTCCAGCCACAGCCTGTACAGTAGGGAAATGACTGTGGATTTACAAACCATTCTTGGTACTATGTACATTGGTCAACTCCACTGCATGAGCACACAGGCTATACCAGATTTGTTCACATTGCAAACTTCTTCAAGGTATAATCATGTTGAAGCTTCTCTCTCTCTTTCTCTCCCCCTCTCAGGAACATTTTGCCAAAAAAGATGCTATGAATTCCAGTGAACTGTGGTACTCTACTGTCAGCCACGACATAAAACATGAAGCCTCTGTGATTAACACCAATAATCAAACTGAATACGCACTTGTCAACGTGCCCAAGAGGAAGGAAAATATTGCCAGTGAAGAGCACAGTGAATATGATTACATCTTGATAACTTAGAAAGGGACACTTTCTGCTCCCAAGGCACTCTTTTACTTGAATGTTTAAGCCAGCAGTACGCAGCCTTGCTAACCATCCTACCTCTGCTGTCAGGTCTTCAAACAAACACCTCCCTCATGTTACTGAGCTTACTCATTAGGACACATCTGCCAGTCATTTCCAACGGGACAAATCTGTCCATGAAAAGGTGATCACGTAATGAGACATGGACAGGGTACAGGACTTGATAATTAAACCAGGAGGAATCAGTAGCAACTGCTAGTGTAAGACAATGTTTCTCTATAGAAAATTAGGTGTTTCATTACTAGAAGCAACTGAGGCTGCACATTTTTCTGGACTTTTACAGTACTTTTTTTTGAAAAGGGGTCTTACAGAACTACTGATAGAAATCTCAAAAATGCAATAATAACACCCCTTGCTGGTTTTTTTTTTTTGTTTGGGGGGGGTATTCTGTTTTTTAAATGAAAGCATAGAACCTGTGTTAGGTGCATTTACTCTTTTCCAAAGTTCCTCTGGCCTGCTTGATATATACCATTATACAATGTACAATTTTGATAAATAACTAATTTCTCAAATTGCCTCCCCCCCTTTAATGTAACGCTACTTATCTTAGAGTGAAGTCTTAATGAAGTTGGAATTAAATAAAAAAGCAACAAACTGCATGCAAAACAAAAATTCCGGCCACTTAGAAGGCTGAAATGAAACCTGATGCTGCGCAGGCAGTAACTGCACACCTCTCAGTAGAAGATTCCCAGGTGTTGCCTCCATGCCACAACGTTTCCAGCTCACTTCTGCTGGAGTCCCAGGTTTGGTTCTCTGCAATGCCAGAACATAACCTCCCCGTAGCCCATCACCCCTCTGCAAGCAGCATTTCTGGACATGCGCATAGGACTGAAACCAGTTATTCAACTGTTCACCAGAGATCATAAAGTGATCATGTGCCTGTGTTCTTGCTTAAGCACGTTTTTTGCTCCCTCCATTTTTGTAATAAAACAATTTGGAAGAAAATGTTGAACAGTTTTCCTGATTTTAAATCTTCCTTGCTACGTGATTGCTGGCTGCAGCCCTGGCTTTACGGTGTAGCGCCTTTGCGATTCCCACCTGCAGTTTCGGTGCCGGGGCCAGTCCCATGGGTGAGTGGTTGCATGCAGCAGTGGACAGACACACGGCTAGCGTGGTGCAGGCAGCACTCTGCAGGTACCGCTGCAGTGGCAGGCAGCTGAATCTGCCCCAGATTTGTTCTGGCTGCTGTGGCTACACAGATGACTGCCTGCCATGGGATTTTAAAGGGCTGGTTGTACACTCCACAAGCTGAATTATCAGAACTATCTTTCCTCTTCCTTTTTAACGGAGTCTCAGTTGCCTCAGTCATTAAAGTATTACCCACGCTCCTTCTATTAAAATTAATAAGCATTCACACAAAATATCTAACTTGATGAAATAATGTGTTTTCACACTGCTCTGTCCCTAGTGGATGAGGTCATAATTAATTCACTTGGTTATTTTCTTTTACATGACCAATTTACCTCAAAGATATAAACCAAAAACCACTTTTTGTCATTTTTTGACATTTCCTTCAATCAAAGCTTGACTGGAGGTAGACTGTAAAGGCGGACATTTTCTGTTGAATATCACAACATCTTGCTACAACTCCACCTCCTTCTTCCTGTGAATTGCTGGGGCAAAGGCACTGGGGCAGAGTAGGATGGCTGGAAAGAAAATGAATGCTTGGCTCCTTCTTTCTTCTGTCGACTGTTAATCACATAGGGATATTACCATAAAGAAACACAATTATTGTATTATTTTTCAGTTCTTAGAAACAGAATCAAGATAAAGAAGTGTTCAAGGGCAGGTTCAGCTGTCTTAGTAAGAGCAATAAGATCAAGCAAGATCTCAAAGGCAAATTATTTCCTTCCTGCTGGTATTTTCATAGCCTGCTGCTTTTGGGACAAACCATACAAACCATGAATTTTATCCTTCCCCATTGTAAGAATGAGAAGGAATATCTCTTCTAGTTGTATGCTGCATAGAATATTACATCAAGAGAAATTATGGTTCTTACAGCCAACGCTACATCTTGCAAATCAAGATAGGGTCAGAATTAGCCACAAATAGAGAGCCATGTGAACTACTAATTTGGTGCAGGCTGTTTCCCAAGCTCAGTTAAAACTCAAGCACGGGTTTGAATGTACGGCTCTGTCAGACAGACGCTTCATACAGCTCCCAGCATTTAGAATTCCGATGGTTATTTTCCAACTCAAACAGCTGAAAGATTGGAGCTGCTGAAGAATGAAAACAATCACTTTAAGAGTAAAAATAAATAATTTAATGCACAGTAAAATTGTCAGATTACTCCTTAAATAAACTGGTAATATTAGAAAAAGAGGAACACAATTTCCCATAAGTTATTTCTTACAATACAAAAGGTTTCTTAAAATAAATTTGTCTATCCAACAGTACTAACATTTGTACTGGCTATAAACAAATGACAAGAAGCTATACTTCACTAACATGGTAGTGAATCCATTCCATTCCACGTAAAGTTAATGCTTAATTTTTAATTTTCATGTTAAAGCCAGTTACTGGCTGTAACTCTCATGCCACGCTGGCCTACATGGTCTGCTTCAGCACCTTCCTCTTGGCATTGGTCCATCTCATCTGATCTCTGTCAAGAAGAACAACTATTTGCTGCCTTATTAAGGCAAATATCTTGCATCTGTTCATTTTTATCCCCACTGCTGGGACAGGGACTATAATTAAGGGTATAGATTAGTTTCTCTTTGAATTTACAAATGTGGATCAAATACCTGTCTATTCACTAGTACGAGAAGCTAATTATCAAGGCACACAGCTAATTTGACCCTTGAAAGATTCCTGTGGCATTCAGATGCGTTAGTGAGCAAGACATTTTTCCTCCTGATGTTTCTTCCTTCATTTCTATTTCACATTACAGAGGTGAAAAATAGAGCAAATACCACCTTATCCAGGAAGACTGTAGGATGAATAAGGGAACGATGAGAGTTGAAGCTCACTTAAGAAGCTAGTGCAAAGGTCTTGCATGTAATTAAAGGAAATAGAGAGGATATTTAAGTTTCAGGCTGTTTTATGAGGAAAGAAGAACGGGAAAACATGGCATATGAAGTTAGCAGGGAAAAAAGTAACAGACATGAGCATGGGTGGAAGTGAGCATTAAGGATGAAGCTGTGCAGATAATTTTGGATAAGCCAAGAGAAGAAGAAAGGTGCCATGTGCAAGAGTCCTTTTATAGCTTGTGCAGGGAATCGAGATTTAATCGTAAGGCAAGACAAAGCAGAGGTTTCAAAGTCAACAGAGCGTGCATCAGACAAGATACATGATTTTCACAAGAGTGAAATGGGTTATTGAGCTATCAGGACAACAATAAAGAAGGAGGTAGCGGTGTTATAGGAGTACAACACTGTTATAAATATACCACATTTTCCATTTACGTTACATTCCATTTACATATTGCATCACAGACAGTATTTACAGGATAACATCTTTAGAAGTGTTTCTACCTAATGAATAGCTCCCTACCCTGGGATTACTAATAGGTAGGAGAAGCCCATCTCTTCTAGGCGGAGAGGAAGATGAGGAGTCTTTCCATCATTTCTCTGAAAGTTAAAACAGTACATTATTAACATTAAAATGAAACTTTAGTTAGATATTTCAGCATATTATTTCCTGTCCCTTTTACACTGCATTTTTTATGAATCCTGTCAATATATAAGGAACAAAATGATACTAAGAATTGGAACTCACAACTTGTTTCTCTCTTGTCCCTTGATAAGAGTACCAAGAAAAATCAGTATGAGTTAATTGCAAATCTTACTTATATACACTGTAAGGTGATGTGTTAGCCTAGAATTATTCTGAAAGCACGTAGGTGTGGCTTAGTAAGTTGGGGATGGGGGGAAGCAGTTCCATGCATTGTTTTCAATAAAACTGCAAAGCTCATAAGAATTTATACTGACATTTCAATCAAGACAAATCTAAATGCATTGGAATCACTCCTAGAAAAACTGGAAGAATGAACATTTGGTTCCTTTAAAAGGTATCGCTGTGCATAATAAATTTTCCCCAAAAATTCTGAAAAGTCGAAAATCAGGAGGCTTTTTCATTGTTGACTGTGAAAAAAATCAGAAGTTCACTCCCAAATTACTTGTCCTGTTTTATTTTGATTAAAATTTGTTTTATAAGTATTCAGATATGAATATACAATAAGGTGAAACATTTTATTTATTTGGCTCCCCGTTATGGTACACACACATATGAGGAGATTTTCTTTGTGCGCATAAAATGCAAGAAGAGATCTGAAAAGTTTGGTTGGAGTCCGTAGCTAACCAGTCTCATCACTACTCCCTTTCTCATCAGACGACCAAACAGTGAATCCTAGGTTATAAGCTAAGCATAACAAGACTTTCTTGAAAACGGAGTATTTTAAAATTTTCTTAATACTGTTGTGCAAAATATATTTACCAACAAATCTCAACATCTTTCCAGAAAGATTTCCCTCCTTTCAAGTAAATACTTCTGCTCGTTGTAAAGAAAGTCTCTCTAACGTACAACACTTACATGTTAATGTGAGAGAAGTCGGGTCAAGCTTTAACCTGTTACATTCAGATGTCCCAGGATTAAAAGTATCATCTTCGTCATAAATATTTTGACGTAAAACGTTCCTTATAAAATCTGGGTTCATTGTGTTTTCCATAAACCCCTCTGTTGATGGTGGCACAGAAAACTCTAGCTGATAAAATACAGTGGAGCTTTCATTACTGAAAAACAAAGCCAAGTATGAATTCTTTCACATCCCCACTGGGTCTTTTTTTTATTGAAAAGACTGACTTTTCATATCAATGTTGGCATGGATTTTTTTAAAACTTGTTCTAAAGAAGAGCATTATAAAAGAAAACTGCCATCAAAGATTCCTCCCTCTCCCTCCTCAGAGCAGCTCTTGACATTAACAGAAATTGGGCACATACCTGAAGCCAACCTGAGACAAGTTTTCAAACGCACAAAGGGCAATTGGACACGTGTCCTAATGGAGTGAGGTTTTCAGCACTCGTGCTTCACAAGCACATAACGATAAGAGGTGCTGCGAGGTTATCTGAGAACCTGCAGAAAGATTTGCTCTCCTGCTAGTAGTACCTGGGGCCTCCCAGCTGTGCTCCTAACTCAGCTCTGGAGTGGATTACGCAAACCACCAAACTGGAGTCTCTCTCTGGAGATTTCATTGTTTGCAATCTACTAAATCCACTGACTACAATTTGACAGTTACATTTTGTACTCACAGAATTTAAAATGTCAAAAAAGTAGTTGGATGGGGGAAAAGGAGACAGAGAGAGAGAGAGGTAGAGGCAGAGAGAGAGACACACACACACACACACAAAGAGGCAGAGAGAGAGAGAGATCAGCAAGTCAATATGTATGCAGAACTATAGCTTTGTACTTGATGGTCTAAATCATAGTTTTTACCCATAAGGCTAAGGAGCTACAGCTCCGTCGTTGAACAGAGCTGGCATACCCAAGACTGGCAGAGCAGGGGAGCACATTCCCCGGAGTGCCCTCAGGACTGCCCCTTGCCGCAGCCCAAGGGGGCTCTTCCTCTGTTTTTGTTCTCTCAAAGGCCTTGGGACTTTGCAAATCTACTTTCCTTGATTTTCTCCTGTCTTTCTAATCCCTTTTGTAACAGTGCTTTTTCAGAAGTCCTTGGGGAAGCTCTCTGACTGCCTTCCTTTGCCTCTCTGCTATCTCTCCATGGCAGGACCACGCTGCAGCTGGCCTTTCCAGCCCCGCTTTTCCCTCTGCTGCTCAGCCTCCCTCCTGTTGTAAATCTGTGGTATCTCCGTAGATTAAAACTTTACAGTCTCAAACACAGTAAACTTTAGTGCCTTCCTCCAGTGCCAGTTTCTGCCGAGAGTAAGAGTCTCCCTCTGTTCCAGCTTGAAGCTTTCTGTTGCCTCTGCGAGGCAGGCCGGGATGTTTTTCCCCTTCTTCCCACCACTGCTATTCCTCTGGCTCCACCAGCCTTTGGTGGCTGAGCTTCTGCTTCATGTGTAAGCGTCTCCCACCCAGGCTAGCCAAGCCCCCACTCTGCCACCTGCTCTGCTCTCACTCCTGTTCCACCAGTCTCTCCAACACGCTGCTGCTTTAAGATTTGCTCCTGTTGTCCAAAGTAAAGTGGTCCAATCAAACCAGCAATGCAATATTACTGTTTTGGCTCTCATGACTTGTATGTCCCTGTTGCCTTTAGCTCTTTTGGGAACAAAACCGTTCTCCCCTCCCCATGAACCAGGTTTTATTTCTTTAAGGCTATTTAAGCCATGTTGACCTCAAGTGGTTCTAGCAGCTCATTTTCCTTTTAATAAATATCCTTGAATATGTTTATTAAGGGCTACACTAGGAACCAAAGACAACAGAGACGATACTTAACAGCAACAAAATGTTACTGTCATATTATTAGCAGCACTTGCCATTTACACCAAAGGATGCTTCGACCGGTTTTCACTACCTGTATATGTAACTTTCCCCCAAACAACCTATTTTTCACAGATTTTAATGTTGTGCATATTTAGATAGGCACAAGTATGTCTCACCAAAAGCCTGGAATTTTCAGATAATTTTGGTGACAGAAATTGCTTACCTGAAATAAGCCACCTGAGCTGACCTAAAATAGCGTCCTAGAGCTGGAGATGAACTGTAGACATCTGTTAACTTGGAGAGAAAAAAGAAAAAAAAAAGAAAAAAATATTTCTTCCATTCACTCTCTCTTTTCCCCATAAAAGAAAGTACAGCAAATCATTCTTACAAGGTGTTTTAAGGGGCATAAACGCAGGTGCTGAAGGTCAAATATCAGCAAATATCTCTCCTGGAAAAGGTGCACAATCCTTTTAAGCTTGACAGACAAGTTAATCAGTGTGTTTGAGTGATTACTGTATTACCTTAACACAATGGAAGCATTCAGGGTGAACTAAAAGTATGTGCTCATGTTGCCATGTGCAATTTATGTTGTTTGGCTTGGGTTTTTATCCATACCAAAAAGCTCTTCTACTCTTACTTGGTAGAGGGAAGGGTCTCTCTACTGAGACTCCCCTTCCACAATAAGTCTAAATCAGCACTGCCATGCCTGCTCAGCTTATTTCAGCCGTAACTCAGAGCTGTGATGGCTCAATGGAAATGGCAGCTATAAACCCAGGCTGTACTTGTAGGACAATGCAACACACAGGATTTTTAGCCAGCACTGGGTTTAGATGACCTTCACAGGCCCCTCCTGACCTAAATTATTCAATGATTCTATGAAAAAAGGTGAAGACCATGTCACAGTCATTACTCAAATTTGGGAAAAAAATCAGGCGTGGTTTTTTTTGTTTTTGTTTTTTTTTTTAATCAATGTAAACTGCTTGTGTGCTTAAAAGCAGACAATTCTTTTTTCTAGATCAGGTCTTAAGATTATACTAGAAAAAGTACAACTCCGAATTTTTTGAGGGCTTGCAAATGACTGAGTTGCTACACAGAGAAATGGAAACTTCTTAAAAGGGAAAGCACTGAATCTGTGTTACAAGCAGAATCGGCTTTGCCAAGAACCACATCAACACATACCCTCTTAGTAATGTCTTCAGAGAAAAGGTGTGGGAGACCACACATTAACTCCAACGTTCCCGAAAAATTGCGACAATTTCCACTATTTAGTAGTGCATCAGGATCCCAATAGTCATCCTCATCCGTGTAAACATCTAATATTCAAAAGAAGATAGAAAGGGGGTTCAAAGTTCCAATTAGCAGAAGTATTGGGGAAAAAAAAAACCCCTCTTGGCTTTCTCCAGGGTGTCTTTCTCACAAATTTCCTAGGTAATGACTGACTGGGAGTGACAGAAAGAAAGTGCAAGTCACCTGAGGAAAAGTGACAGCACATGGAGGTCAATCACCCGCCCCTATTAGCGAAAGTCAGCTGCTTTGGGAGCCTGACAAGCACTGACATCACATGAGGGGATGTAAATGATTCATTGCACTTGTTGCAATGTTACAAGCATCATTTCCATCCTCATCCCCGACTCTGTTCTTACATTTTCTCACTTAGCTACAAACTGGAATTGCCATCTGATCAGGATACAAGTTGCTTGCTGCCTGCTAAAATAAAAGCGTTCACATCCACTACTCAACACACCACCCTCTGCAGTCAGCATCCCAGTCCCTTCAGCAGTTTACAGAAGGAGTTTAAAGGATGCTACTGCTCAATTTGTGTTATATTAGATTGCACATATTGTACATTTTTATTAGAGGATGAACCGAGAGTGAGATACTTACTAGAATAAAGAATTAGGCTGATGAGAATGACCAGGAAGAGTACTAGAAAAATTGTACTTATAACCATCCATAGTTTACACCTCCAGAAAACTACATTCCCACATGATTTCCAGTGATCTCTCTCCTAGTTACAAAAGGAAGGGGCATGTTGATTAATGAAATAAGGTGTGAAAAAAATATTTAAACATGTCTCTACTGTAACATTTAGAAACAAAAAACCCCACATAAGTGGGAGAGTCTCATTGGTAAGCAATGCCCTGCCCCAGGGGTTCCCACCATTAAGTACTGCTGCAGGTGGGAGTGTAGACCTGCAGAGAATAAAAGACATTCACAGGCAGATTATTACTTGAAAGAGACAGGTGCTACAAAGGTGCTTTCATGGCTTCCAAATTTTTCTTTAAACTACATAGATTTGATTCACATGTTCCACAAGCTGTCCTTTTAATGTTTGCCATCTCTCCTAACCAAAAAGCTGTCTGTAGAGGAATTTCCAAAATCATTCACCTCTGCAACATTGATGATATCAGTCTGCATAGCTCCTGGATGCCAGCACCCAAAGCAAGTGGACTGCTATTCATTAGATACTATTGCATTAAAGAACACTGTAAAATAATTGAGACTTTTACAGCTGACTCCCTTTTTTTTCAGAAGATTGGAAACTTGAAGGCTATTGAGTACATTTAACAGAAAGTTTATTAGAAATCTCACCTGTTCTAGGAGATCACAAGGAAACTCTCTTCAAAGAAATTGTGCGTGTGTGCACTTTCATATAGAGAGAAAGGACAATACCTGCCTTTCATTTAATTTTTAATAAGAAGTTAGTGGCAGAAGTTAGTGCTTTATTAGTTACCCCAACAGTATTAATATTTTAAAAAAAAAAAAAAAGTTTAGGTGATATAGCAAAACAAATAAAAAAACCCCTCCAACTATTTTGTTCCACAGCCAGAAGATTGAAGGAAGGGCATGAATTCATAAAAAAGTAGACCATGCTGCCTTTTTAATTCCTCCTCCTGTCATCGACCATAAACCCAGCTGTAAACTCCATGTCCTTTTTGGCATCAGTATGAGGCGAGGAAAAGCACATGCTGTAGGTTGTCTGGGCCACACACGTGCAGGTTGGCAGGAACTAGCTGATGGCTGGAGGCACTAACCCAGGTTACCTTCCTTTACTTTTTGAACTTTCTAAGAACCCAGCATAATAGAAAGCCTTTCACTGAATTTAACTGACATCCACCAGCTGGCTCAAAGCTTCTTTGGGGGTGGCAGATGAACAGGGGGAGAAAACAGACACCCACAGAAACATCTTACAAGAGTAATTTTTCCAGGAGCGGGGGCAGAGAAAGGGAAAGCGCTCTCTGCAGATACCCCTGCAGGCAGAACTTTGCTTTGGTGGAGAACGACAGGCAAAGGCTGAATATGGTTTCGGTTACAGCATGCTTTCAGGTGTAATCATGTTTACATACATATTTTTTATTTGATTTTTAAAATGTATTAGAATAATGAAGCTTCAATTTAATACTTGACACTAGCATATCATTTCATATCTGAAAAAAGAAAAAAGCCAGTAACTACTGCCTAGAGTACAACTATGAAATCAGACATAGTAATGTCAGTTGAGACAGACAGTTACCAAGCCCAAGTTTCGATTGAGCCACATATTTAGACCATCACAAGAGTGTAATTCCTAATCACACATAGCAAACAGGGTTGATTTCAAGCAAACATTTAGCTCCCCAACTATCCCCTACCAGCTGGGCCAACGCCCTCTGGACATTGCCTATATACTATCTATCGCAAGACTGCCGGGAGGGAGCAGCAGCAGAGAAAATTTCTCCCCAGTGGGCAGGGCAGTTCTCATTAACCTGCCACCCGAGCAGGAAGCAGAGGGTGATAATTTTCCAGCGGTCCCTATAGGATAGAAAGCCAATTGCCAGAATCAGCAGAAACAGAGCCCAAATGAAAGCTCAGTTCTGGGGAGGCGAAGGCTAAACAGAAACTTAAGGGTAAAGTTTCTCAAAATAGCCAAGCGGATCTCGCTCACCCCTGCCTCTCCTCCACCCTCTCCTGTTCCTCTTTGCACCTCCCTAGAATTTGTCCAACTCTGCAGCAAGCTGTTTCAGCTTACCAGACCAGAGGAGAAGTAACTGGCCCCCGATATATATAGTAGAGTGAATGGGGTTTTTGCCTAGGCGGTGGAATGAATCAGCCCAGAGAGATGATCAGCGGGGCTCACACAAGGAAGCAGTCGCTGTCGCTCGGCCAGGAGCAGGAAGGGAGGGGTGGCGTGACTAATACAGACGAGCTCTCGGGAGGGCTCAGCCATCCCTACAGAAAAGTGGGAAACTTCTCAGCTCTGCCACAGCTATTCACTCTGCTCTCGAGTAAGTAATGAAAATCATTGTCCAACAGTCACCTGTGAGTATATATTGCTCCTCTGCCAGCATTAGTCTGTTCCATAGCTTTCAGCTAAATGCTGGGAGCTACCTCCCTCAGGACTCACATGCTGGTCTTAACTGAGGCTTTGGGGCACTCTGTTCATACCAATTCACAAGTGTTAGCAACTGCGAATTCCTCAAAGATAAAAAGAGAGAGAATCCAGCATGGTCTGTTTCAGGACATCCTATTCTTGTTTTGGCAACGCTGTTTTCTGATTAATTTGTTCTGAAAGAAAGCCTGGTTTTAATATGGGTTTCAACTTTTCTTTCTGGTTTTGAGCCTAATCCCACTGACAGCACATGAAAGGAGAAAGCAAAACTCACAGTACCAATTACAACTTCATTTCCTAAGTTAAATTTCACAAACTGCCAAGCACCAAAAAATAAAAAAACTTAAAATTCCACTCCAATATTAGAATACTTCATTGAGAAGAAGAAAAGAAATATCTTTAAAAGGTCTTTAGCCTTTACTTTCAAGCGAATAACCTTTCCCTCTCCCTCAAACAACAAATTAAACCACCCTTACAAGACATTCCTGCAAAGTGTCATTTCTCTTGCTGTGTGGTATTTTCCCCAACAGCAAGCATCAAATGAGCAAGTGAAATTCCTACCTTTCTTGTTTGAGCATTTAGAGGCTTGTCATGATCAGCCTGACTTTCCTCCACATTATCTTCTTGTAATTCAATAATCTCATGCTCCTGACCAGAGCTTTGCCTTTTCATAGCTTCTGTCTCTGTGCAAGGACCTCTGTCTCTGAAGAAAGCATGGAGGCAACTCATTTCCTTCTGGTTTCAGCAGCAGTTCTGGTCAGCAGCAGTTCTGGTGTGAGGCTGGAGACGGTAACAGTAAGAGCTGGGATAGTTTTCACAGAAGTGATCTCAAAATACTGATAAATAAGGGGAATTCCTTGAAAGGACAAATGATCTCAGTAGCTAGTGCAGACGACAAATGGGAGACGGAGGAAGTATCGATTTGCCTAGTCGCTGCAACAACAGCCCTCAGCTGTGCAATACTAGGTTTTCCAGTTTGTCCACCTTACTGTACCAGCCCTTGACAAGCACGAGCAGGTGACTAAACCTTCAGCAATGTTGTCATTTGCTGAGGCAATTTTGAAAGGAAGTGGATTGCTTTCCCTGCTGCTGTCAGCTGAAACAGTAAAATACTATTGCAGTTATACGCACAGATAAACAGATGTTGTTCTCAACAGCATAAACTGAGTAAAGGATCACATAGCTTGTGGTTTGGTTAGGCTGTGAAGGGAACTTATAATATCCATCAACACTTCCAATTTTAGTCTCCCTGTATAGTCAATAAAGGAATGAACGTTACTGACCTTTGTTCCGTGAATTGTCCTCTCTCTAGCTGTTACGTAGCCTAAAATCACGTTTGGTGCTAGAGGTCCATTTATGTCTATTCACATACTATCCAACCTAAACCTGAGAAGCCACTTCCATGTGAAAAAGCAAAAGGACAAATCTGAAGAGAGGAGGAAGGTAGCCTTCAATTTCAGCCTGTGCTGTACAGGGCATGCTTTTATGAAGCAAATCATGGTGTGAGTTGAGATCTGGTCTGCACTAGCTTCCCACATGAAGTCTCCCATGCTACTTAGAGTCACTCATAACAACTTACTGCAGCCAGGGGCTGATTCCTCCCCTCACTCCCCCAGTATCCTTCATCCTACCTCCTCTCATTTCTCCTGTTCTGACTCCATCTTCATGTTTCTCCTTCCTCCCCACTGAGCACCTCTCTCCCCTCTGGATCAAAAGGGTTGGACAGGCAGCTGGTAACTGCACTCTCGCTCACTTTCTTGTCCCAGCACAGAGAGGAGTGTGTTAAAAGGAAAAGAAAGCCTCTTTCTCCAACTCCCTCCCCTGCTGGCTGAGCATCCACTCACAGCACTGCTCTGTCTTTTTCCTGCCAAATGCTGAGGATGCTTTTCTTCCCCCCAGATTTTCCCATTGTGCAACACATCTGGTTACTGACGCCTGGAACATTCCTGGGGGTTCAGATCCCTGATGTCATGTCACAGCCATCCAGGCAAAGGCACTCCATCAAGCTGAGCACACAGCTTAGTTTCATTCAACAAATAAAAAGAAATACAAATTGCATACCCCACCTTTTGGTTCTGGAGAATCCTTAAAACTCCGGAGGACTGAGGATGAAGCTGAGCAGTCATCAAGATCAAAACATGCATCTGGATCCACAAAATATTACCTGGTTCATCTTCACTAGAAAAAGCCTTTACCTACAGGTTCTTAGTACTCCTGCTGGAGAAGAGCTCCGTTTATTTCATTTCCACACACAGTAAAAGACCTCACCTTCCTACTGAATTGTCTGAAACCAAGACAGTTTTTCTAAGTCAAATGAGTTAATGATTATGGATCTCACCCTGCAAAAACCAAAGTCCTTTTATTTATGTCTATGAAGGAGCTCCTCACAAAGTCTTGATTTTCTTTCGTCTGGGTGATCCAACTTCCACACTTGGTGCCTTTCTTGCATGTGAAGTAACTGAGCCTTCTGATGCATGGAGCTGAGAAACTCTTAAAGAAAACGGGAAGTTGAGAACCGATCTGAACTTTCTGGCCTAGGCTTTTATCTAAAACAGAACAGCAGAAAAACTGTTTTCTTCCGTAGTGAAGACATCTCTGGTTTCAATATACGGAAAAGAAACTTGTGCCCTTAAATGTGCGCTTGAGTAAAATGGGCAAGTTAGGCTCAGCTTTACAAAAAGAGGAAACTCCAAGGTATAAATGTAGTTCTGATTGCAACTGGGGATTAGAGTTTCAGAGGCATAACCGATTAAACGAATAAAACACAACTGCTTGCCTTTTTAGCATGTGTCTATTAAAAAGGAAGATGTGAATAACCAACTAACTAATAAAGATACTAAACCTCCTAAAATATAGGCTTTGAGTATAGTTTATGTAGTAAGTTTGACACAAGCATTGTGGGGGCAGAAATGCCCAACACTAGCGCAAGAAAGGAAGGAAAAGCAGTATCAGTGTTAGACATAGGAATCTCACTGCATGCAGATTACAGTGCTAGCTCATTCCAGTGTTTTCCCCCCATGCTGCCAAGGTGGGCCTAAAACTAAACAAGGATCACCTGTTTGTGTACTGTAGAATAAAAGTGTGATGTGTGGACGGCAATGACTGCTATTCAAATTGTCAGCTTCATTTTTTTTATTTTATACGTTAAAGGTGAAAGCTAAACACTTCCAAATACTGAGCACAATTTTAAGACCATCTAGAAAGACCATCTCAACAGATTTTTATTAAACCGAATATCAGCATTCTTAAGTCCCATAAACAGCTTTGGAAACCTTAAATCAGCTAGATGATTGGGTCCTCAGGAGATTATAATTGTCAAAGCTAGATTTACTGCTAAGGTTAAAGGAATGTGGCTGTCATTTCCTCTTCTACTTTCTTTGAGTCCAAGAATGCATTCAAACACATAAATCCCTTTTTCCTTTTATGTTCCTTTCAATGTCCTGTGGCCATGTGGGCACAGCCCAGGAAGAGATACAAACCAAAAATCCTGACCCTGAAACTCTGCTTGCTGCAGACCAAGGACATCAGGAAAAGCAGCACAAACCCACCAGGAGCATGCTAAAATTCACAAAGCATGCCAGAGCCAGAGCTGGGGAAATACACTTGTAACACATTGCAAACATCAGGCCCTACAACTATGTTCAAATTGTAAAGAGAATGTAAGAAAGCACCAAAGGTTGTTTTTTTTTTTGTTTAGTTAATTAAAACTGAGTATTTCTTTCCTCTTATATGAACATCATCCCAAAGAACCTAAATTATGTTCTTCCAGTTCTTTAATGAAAATTTCTTGCATCCTAACATTTGTGAGCTATATATCTGATGTTTTTAGGAAAACACAGGAGACAGCCCAAAAGTTACATCCCAGAAAGGAACAGTCATGTAGTGGCAGCATAACTAGAGAATGAATTAATCTCCGCTTTGCATGTTATACTGATTATAGTACTTGTATTTTCAAGAAACATGAAATAATTGTTTATATTTAGAGTCCTGTAACATCACTAAGGTAATATATATGAGTTGAGTGTATATTGGATGTAGCCATGAATATCCAGATATTTGTATGTGGAAACATATATAGTTATATACATAGCAAGGGAGATGGAAGGAGGGGAGAAGATTTGCAAAAGAAAGATCTGGCTGGATTTTTGTTACAGGTTCTAATCCCTTTTTATGTTGTTTTTAAGGCAGTGCTGTTTCTGCTGCTGGGGATAAAGAAGATGAATCTATAAGGAAACTGAAGTTGCTCTGAACTGGAACAGTTACTGCTAGGTGAACAACAAATGGTGGTTTCTTCATTAAGGAAGTGCATTCTTTCACAAAGAAACAGTCAATGGCATTTTCATGTTATATCATCAGAGATGGACATGATAGACTACTGTAGGAAGCAGCTTTCATAAGGGAGATCATCTTAATTTTCTCCTTGGCACATCAGTTTGTATTCTGACGAATCCAGTCATAAAGTGCCGTCACCTTAGTGTACACACCAGGACGATTGCGCCGAGCACATCCTTCACCCCAGCTCACAATGCCAGCAAGGTACCATCTATTTCCCTTTCCTGTGCAGGCCAAGGGACCTCCAGAATCTCCCTAAAATGAAGGGCATTCGGCCATTAGTGCGCGCACGCACACACACATATACACACAGAACACTGTAACAAAAGTTAGGTTATTTAAAGACAGTAAATACCTGCCCCTCTCTTTCTCAAATTACAATTTAATATTAGAATAATATTTCTGGATAGAATGTTCCCAGCTAGATGTCAAATTTATTCAATTTATTTTAACTTAAGGAAGTAGCACACTAATCAATATAAAGCAACGGCAAGAAGTTGTTTAAGAAATTACTCATTGCTAATGTCCCATTACAGGATTCATAAAGCAACTAATGACAGGCTGAATGGGGAGAGAAGACAGGGATGGGAAGTGGGAATTCTGTTACCATTTGACCATAAATTGTTCACAGGTTGAAGGCAGAACTCTTACGCTGTCTATTAAATAGGAAGAGAAAGTTACCACACGTTCCCAACAAAAAAACCAACCAACCAAAAAAAAAAAAACCAACCAAAAACCAAACAAGGCACAATTAAGCATTATCTTCATAATGAAGACTGTCTACATTCATAGAGGGAGAGGAAGAACAAAGACTAAGGAATGTGCAAATAAGAACGGGCTTCTCAATGGGAAGATGCAGCTCTGTACAGCAACGTAGAAAAGTAAAAATTCCCATTTAGTTCAGTTCACAGGATCAAAATGCATTTGGGCTCACAAATGCTTTGTGCCCTTCATTGTTTTAACCTTGTATGCCTTCTGTGAACAGACCAGTTCACATAACTCCAAGCAGTTATGAATGTAGCTCATCTCTGCAGCTGTTCCTTATGCATACATGGCAGACGGCAGCCTCCAAGTTGTCCCTGGGGTTTGTTTGCTGTCCCCCGTTGGAGCTAAAACATGGAAGAGGTCAGAAGAAAGCCATGTACCGAGAAAAGAGTAATAATAGAAAGCCTTCATCACCCAACCAAACAAAATTATCTAGAGATAAGAAAAGAAGCCAGAACAGTTCTTCTCTCTCAGGCTGCTGTCCTACTGGCAATTTTGATAGTCCAAGCGGCTGATCTCGAAGTGACTTGAGAAAGCAGGCTATATACTCTGGCCCATTACAAAGCCAGTTCTGAAAGACTGAAGGGGCTGCATGCTGATAGAGAGGAAGGATGCTAAAAAGAGGAACCAAG